ACACAAGCCCCCCCCCCCCCCCGGCGATGCAGCTGTGGGGCCCCAGTATTCAGACTGGGTTTTGGATTGTGCGTAGTAGAGTCAGGGTATCGGGTGTAGGGTTTAAGCTTTTCGTAGAGCTTTACGAGAACTTCAACACAGATACGATTACCAACGACTCAGGCTTTGTGTTCGCGGGGTTTTCGACAGCAATGGGCAGAAACAGATCTTTTGGGGAAGCTCTGGCCGGAGGCTTTCAGAAACTGAGTTCTTGTTAAAGGATTTAGTTTAAGTTGCCATAATAGGGATCTATAGTAAATAAAATGGTTTCATTATTATAGTAACTTATGCTAAATCCCTTAACAAGAACCCAGGAAACGTCCTCGCTTGACACCTTGCGTCTGGGGCCGTGCCCGATTGCTTCTGGCAAGTGAAGCCTTCAGCCCCTAAACCCTGCCCATGATGACGTGGTACCCTCCTACGAACACCGATGCCCCAAATAACCCCAAACTATAAGATAATAAGGCCCTTCTGCGACTGCCTGCTGCATCCCCGCCCAGCAATTCTAACATAGGGCTTGGGAGGTACATTGTAGTACCATTTCCTTTCAGGGTTCCTTGCAGGGTTTCTTGTTGGATTCCGCCGTGGATTTCTGGATGAGCCGGCCTTTCTCACCTTCTGGCGTCAGGGACGTGAAGCGAGTCGGTGGTGAGACGACCTAGAACCAATCTTTAAACCCACAGCTCCAAAATCACGGAAAAGGCCCTGAAGCGACTAGCACAGCCTCTGAGTGCAGGACATCTAAACCCTAGATCCTAACCCGGAGGCCTAAACCCTATAAAGCCTAAACCCAAAGCACTACAACCCTTAAGCCAAAAGCCTAAACCCAAAACACTATAACCCTTAAGCCAAAAGCCTAAACCCAAAACACTATAACCCTTAAGCCTAAACCCCAAACCCAAAACCCAAAAGCCCAAAGCCTAAACCCCAAACCCACTATAACCCTTAAGCCAAAACCCCTAAAAACCCTAAGAGTTCCCTCTTTCGCCCTCCCTCACGAGGCCTCAGCCCCCAAAAACCCTGGAGAGGTTGAATGCCTACTCGCCCGGCCATGAACCCCGGAGATCCGCCGTCCCAAAACGCCTATGTTAAACCCTATAGACCCCATTTGGGTCGCAGGTTTCGGGATTTTTTTGCTTTGGGTTTAGGGTTGAGGGTTTAGGGCATGGAAGGTCTTAGTGGTTAGCACAGGGTTTAGGCAATTTAGGGTATATATTCTGACATTCCGATTCTTATGCAGAGGAGTCTATCCCAGCTGAATTCGATCCACATCATCGTCTTGCGCTGTCCCAGCGCTGGGACGCGTCCGGACTTGCCCGTACTTCTCCTTGGCTTTCTACAAGAACCTTGTTACAAAAGGCTAGGGTTTAGGGTTCAGGCGCTTTGTACGAGGGTTTAAAGTTTATAGCTTATAGTAGGGTTTACGGTTTGCGGGTATACTGGGCTCCTTGCGTCGCGCTAAGCTCCCTAACCAACAATCTGAACACCAGATCCCGAAGCCAAAGGCCCAACAAAACACAAACACATCAAGCCTCGAAAAGTGCCGGAAAATGACAACGAGATAGGTTCAAGCTGAAGTGGTTTGGTTTTTTAGTTTTTTTGAAGGTTTAACTCCGTTGAGTGCCGGGGTTTGGCGTTCGGGGTTGAAGTCTGTGACGGTATCAAGCCCAAAACTCTTCAGCCCAATCGTTAAGTGCAATCGAAAGCGAGCACAAGAGCCAGTGACAGCGCACCGGGTAACTTGAGGGTTTCTTGACAAAGTCAAGCCGATTCAAGCCGGCCCAACCTTCAAGATAAGCACCAAAACCTGATCCTTCCATGGTACACCGTCAGAAACTGCTGTTGTTTCGGCTTTTCGGACTTCGGAAGCAAGATGTAAATCGCAGCCAGGAGACACAGCCAAAGCCAAGGAGCGGTAAAAAGCATCTAAATTGAAAGCTTCCCGAAACCGGAAACTCTTAGTCCCATTTACATCCGAGTCTCCTCCTCAACCCCTAAACCATGGAAGTTAAACACCTCACCCCTGTAAAACATAAACATCTGAAAACGAACCCCTACGCCTTTGGTTGCTTGACCCGTGCTATTGCCGAGACCATGTGACTATGAGAGCGCATCATAACAGTAAAGCTCGACTTGTGATGAGACTCTGCCCATAGGCCCCTAAGTAGTTCCTTTGTGGGATTACCTTATAGGATTCTAAATATGAGCCACAAAAAGCAACTACTTCGGGGCCTATGGGTAAATCTAAACACTTCAGATCACTTCTTTGGTCGACATGGGGCGAAGATTTGCTTGGAGTAGCGCTGTCGCTCCTGCCAACCGCTGCACTGTGCTGCTTCGAGCTGGTGTGGCAATGCCAATGTTATCTCTATGTGGCCTGTCTTGCCTTTTTTGCAACAGCAGATGTACAACATGATATACCATAATGTAGTATGACATCATTTAATACTATAAGATCGATTCGGGGTGTGGGGCCAAGGGTGAGCGGTTTGGACAACCCCCCAAACTCCCTGCGACGGCCATGACCGAGATGAGCCAAGAAGCTGACATGAGGTCCTGAACGATTACGTACAGTAAACTCACCCTCTTACACATAGCCTGTAAACTACCACATACAGCCTGTACTCTACACCAAAGCACCATTGTAGATCTTAAGGCCCTTGCATCTTGTGTTCTTTCACCAACACCAAGAGAACGGAGCTTCGAGGACAAGTGATATAGTTTATCCTCCCTTTTTACCTCTCATAACAGTATGTTATGCCTCTACTTGTGGTGTACAACTCTCCTCGCCTTTCCCAAAACAGGCAAATGTTGGAGGCTATGTGGGTTGTTGCATGTTATGGCCCTCTATACCCGTTCCAAAAGAAACATAGTAGATGATGGGATTCACAGGTTGTACTGGAAGTCTCAAAGTCCAGAGTGGAGGGAAATTTAGTGTCTATATGTCTTCGGTTGAGGGTTTATAGGGCTTGTAGGGTTTATAGCATTTATAGGGCTTTAAGGGTGGAGTTGTATGGTGAGAAACATGGAGGAAGACTGTCACTCACTACATCGCTTCGGTGTCGCAGCAAGGTGCAAAGCTTTATCAACGACTCCTGCCTTCTCTTCGTCTGTGCTCCGGCGCAGCATCTTCGATTCTCGATCTGCGTCAGCATCCTCCGAACTGTTGAACCCTAGTATCCTGTGTGGGTACTGTCTCTGACACACATCGGCATGTTCTAGGGCGTGGGGCTTAGGGTGTAAATTCAAACAAGAGAGCTCCTGATTCCCAGTGTAAGATAGCATTCAACACATACAGTAGCAATTTTCATATGCTGCAAAGCCACAGACTGACATTCTGCGGTAGACACAGAAGGCTTTCAACTTCTGGCGCTGTCAGGCAGGGTTTAGGTTTAGGGTTTGCAGACAGAATTAGATGCTCAAGCACCACCTAACTCAAAAGGCTTACACCGGCTTACACCTGCAAGTTCACACAAGGACAAGCCCAGGCGGCTCATGGCTGTAAAGGGAAGTTTCCTAATCATTCTACCTTCAAGCCCCGAGCCCTTAATCCCTAAGACCCTCAGAGCATCTCCTTGTCACTCCGACGCTTTTGCCGGGCATGGGTCGTATCCTCCTGCTGCATCTGGCTTTCGGCGGAGCCCTGGCCAGTGTCTGGTAAAACCCAACCATGTCCGCAACTTGCATGTGCAGATTTTAACCATGCCTTACAATTTTTGAACCCAGACTCTGCCAATCAGCATGCCTTACAATCGAACGGAAATCATAAACCCCACGCGCACGTACGCGACGAAAGGGCCGCAAATCATGCTGCTAGCACTATATGGGTAACACATAAAGAAGAACTGCAGCATCCTGCAAGCATCTGAACACTAGGCTGCCCAAGTTAGTGTATACCTCACTTTTCATCTGGAAGCAGGAAATTTTGAATTTGCTTCTGCCAGCGCCCTAAGCCCACCCCAGACCTTCAACCCTGTTACACAGGCTTCATTGGAACTCGCCCTGCCACTATACGCCCTCAACCCTAAACCCTAAACCCTCAACCCTGAACCCTAAGCCCTCAACTCTAAACCCGCCGGCTTTCTTGTCCCCTGGCCTGCTCCCGGCGTTTGGCCAAGCCCACCTCTCCATCCGACGGGAGGTTCAGACAGCCAGGGACTTCTCGTATGGACCATAAATGACGCCTATGCTCTCCATTGTAGTTCCTTTTACGGATTACCTTCTAAGATTCTTTCTATATATCTAAATTATATATATGTGTGTGTATGTATAATTGGTTAAACCAAGAACAGGAACTACAATCAATAAAGCCGAAGCCGTTCACACAGTAATATGCCATAATACAAAGCTCATGCATCACTTTCGGCCCCTAAACAGAAAGGTGACTACTCTAAAGACCCTCAGGAAGGGACTCCTGTAGCAGCCCCCTGACCCCCTAAAGCTCGCGGATCTACACAGCCCATGATGCTATGTTGAACCTATGGCCGGGGATTCCAGAAACTCTCCAGAGCGAGAACTTCATAGTTTATGGCACATTCATGCGGCCCTAAACTGACCCTAAACCTCAAAAGCCCTTCTTGCTACTGGACTCCTAAAGCCTAAACCCCTAAACCCTAAACCCCTAAACCGCTGAACCCTAAACCCTCAGGTCTAACCAGACCAGGACCTGCAGTCATCTTTGCCTGAGGCCGACATGGAAGCACCGAGACCTCAAAAGCCCTAAACCCCGAACCTGAAGCCTACACGCCCCAGAAGTCCAAATGCACATTCTGCAAATGAATTTTAACTGTAAACCCTATAAACCCTAAGACTCCCTGCTCGGCACCTCAAAGGCCTGGGGACGCTTGGCATAGTCTTTGCCTGAACTGGGTGGCTTTCGGGTTTTAGGGCTTTAGGGTCAAGGGGTTTAGGGTTTTAGGGTTTAGGGTTTTAGGGTTTCGGGGTTTTAATATTAGGGTTTACGAAGACCTCTCAGATGCAGGGGTTCCGAACAGAAACATGAACTTCTTAAGACGTGCCACGTTCTAGACACCCTTGCGCCACCCCACGCAGTTCGACAGAGACATCTGGAAGTCTGGAAGCGACAGAACAGGACTTAGGATTTCCACGAAGTTGTGTCGTTCGGCTGCAGGCTGGGACAGAAATCATGGAAACAGCATCCAAAACAGAAACCTCCAAAACCCACAGAGTTTCCGCACTCCCTCTTCATCTTGCTCTGGTGCTTTCTGGGCCACAGTCCAAAAACCCAGCAGCTGGGGGCGCGGACCGCTGCCACAGACAGCTTCCTCCTCATCATGGTTTAAAGTTTAAAGTTTATAGAATTTTGGGTTTGGGGAAGAGGTTTTGTAGGCTTTAGGGTGGTGATCATGAGTAGCTCTAGGGTTGTGATCGTGAGAAGCAGGTGTATCCCACACACGGGCCAACACGCTCCCATCAGAAAGTTATACAGCAAACCATATGAAGGATCCACTAATTAACAGTAGTCGAAGGACGACTAGCCGTTTGAGAAGCGTTGGGTTCTCTCGCATGTTGAAATTAAGTGCTTAGGCGTCGTGGTGAGGTTTAAGAGGCTGCGTGTGAGGGTTCTGGGTTTAAGCCTTTACGGAGATCCTTGTGGAGCCACCCCTTTCGAACAGTTTTCCGGACCCTGCGCCATTCAGGAATTTTACGTCCAGTTCCCGAATCCAAGCATGGGTTCGATGAACAGACGGATTAGGGTTCAAGGTTTAGGGTTTAAAGAGGTTTAGGGTTTAGGGGGGTTGCTCGCCTGGGCTATCCTAGAGTATATCTTTCTGGGATCCGCCGAGGGTTCCCCCTGAATGAGGACAAAACACATCGGGGAATTTAACAAAAACCAACTAGGGGGTCACCTAGACGCCTTATGCATCAGAGCAGCTATTGGGGTATCACATACAATATAACTACATAAGGACTAGACGGGGATGCTATTACTTAATGCTCCGATTCCCCTATGTTAAGGGTCTTGGGAGCATTGCGAATCATGGCCGAAGCCTAATTCGCGGGATCCCGGATCCTCGAAACTGGCAGGGATTCGCCAGAAACCCTGGTCTCGGACTGGACTTAACTTTTTGCTGATGTAGGAACCTGAAAAAGGCACCCTTGGGTCATCTTCGCTTGAATATATACCCAAGATAGTAGGATCCGTCCTACACTTAACCAGTCTTCCAGACGAATCTGATGGATTCAAGGCCCAGCCTCCATAGTTACCCTGAACGCTCTGACCCTCGTAGTTGTATTAAAGTGCAAACCCTGACCACGAAGAACCCCTAAACCCTGAACCCTAAACCCCTAAACCCCCAAACCCTAAACCCTAATACCTCATAGACCCCAAGCCTCAAAACCGAAGCCGGAGAGCCGCACAGGCGAAGCAAGCAAAAAATACACGGCGCTTAAATCGATGCAAACCTTGCAGAGACTCTATAATTCTAAACCCTAAAACTCCAAACCCTAAAGACAGCCGGGGCCAAGGTATTTCGGGCATCTCGCGCTAAAAAGGGATTATAGTACCCCAAAAATACACCCCAAAAAGGTCAGAGGCTTGCTTCACTAAGTCTTGCTTTTCAATTTCAGAGCTGTGGCTTTGGCAGCTAAAAGCGCGGAATTCGACAAACACCCTCACACTCGGCTTGGGTTTTGGGTTTATAGGGTTGCAGCACGTTAAAGCCTTTTCTCTCACAGTCTAGGCCGACGCAGAACAATGATGCTTCAATCGGAACTCCAAAGGCTCCAGACTCTACGCCCCGAGAAGAAGACCGTGTGGCCCTAGCAGTCAGTCTTGTTTTCCTACCGGTGGCTCAGAGTTTAACGTCAGAAGCCACAAAGCTGCGCACTCCCTGCGAGAAAGCAAAGGAAAGAGTCCTTGGCGTGACCGCGAAGTTCTTGCAGAAGGACAGACTCCGATTTGCCCTTGCACCTGTCTTGGGCTCAGGAGTCATGTAGGGCCTTTGTAGCGAAATCACGATGCTAGTGATGATGCTGCTATTGTGCTGCGGCTCGTGAGGTCGTGATGACGGTCAAGTATCAATTCAAATCGGGCTTGGTGTAGCAGGTAGATCATGTCCGGTCTAGAACTATAAAAGGACACCGTTATACGGATCTCCAAACGCTGAGCCTTGCATCCCCAAAAGCTTACAAGGCCGACCCAAACCCCTTTAAGCTCTAAACCTTCCATCCAGAGCCCCTTACCTGAAGCCCAAGCTCAAACTACTAAACCTAAATCCCTACCTCCTAAACCCTCATTTCCCCAGTTGCCTTACCAAGGCCAAAAGTAGGTACCATTGTAGACTTTAGACCCCAAGCAGGTACTACTTGCACACTTGGAGTCTTAGTATAGTAGAAGACAAGACAAGACAAAACAATACAGCACAACATAGCGCAACAACATAACATATCGTATCATGTAAAATCATCTAATATCCCATAATATAGGGGGAGCCCTAAACCCTAAACCCTAAACCCCTAAAATGCCTAACCACTAAACCCCGAAACCCTAAACCCTAAATCCCTAAACCCTAAACTAAGCCCCGGCTTCGAACAAAAGCGCCTGGACCAGTCCGGTGACCCGCCTCGGCGGCGAGACGACTCGGGACCTTCCGAGAGGGTCTTCGCAGGGAAAAGAGGCGGGTTTGGGTTTTTTTTTCAGAAGGGTGGTTTAGGGTTTTAGGGGTTTAGGGGTTTCAGGGTTTAGGGGTTTAGGGTTTACGGGTTTAGGGGTTTCAGGGTTTAGAGGTTTAGGGTTTCTGGTTACTTCAGAAGGGTTCTACAGGTGTACTAGGCCCCTCTAAAAGGGTTCTATTGCGGTTCTATGTTCCTTTGATTTAAATGGGCTCCTGTAAGGATCGATAATAAGGTGTATCATACGGGTTGTGCAAACTAGCGCTTCTGGCTCTCGGATTCAAGCTTTGGGTGTTTAACCCTCTCGAGTATGCGCTTTTGAGGGTGTGGGACTTCTCCCCAAGGCGAAAGAAGCCTCACTGTGTTAAGATGGTGGTGAAACGAGGGTTTAGGGTTTGGGCAGAGCCACGGTCTAACCAGCAGCCCAATATTGTGCGCTTGGCGGCTGCTAGCGGGCAGGATGAAGGAGTTGCGAAGCGAGATTCTGTGATTTTGGAGCTTGGGTCCTGCACCTGCAAAAAAGGGGCCCAGGGAAGACCAAACTGCCTTCCTCCTAACTCCACACCTCATACTATTGAAGGTTCAGGGCCTTTAGGGGTTCTAGCATTTCGGAGTTTAGGTTCTGCTGCGGTGCCTTCTTCTGTCAGTATCACCTTCCCCAGGTGCACTGTGGTGATGTTGCCTTCCTGTTCGCAAGGCAGAGAGAGCAGTGTCGAAACCGCGGGGCCCGGACCTACTGCTCTAAACTGCAACCTGCTGGTTTGCGGTTCAGGGCTTAGGGGGTTTGGGCCAGGGCTCAGTTTAGTGTTTAGGGTTTAGGGGTTTAGGGTTTTGCTTATAGGGTTTAAGGGTTTAGGGGTTTAGGGTTTATGGTTTAGGGGTGTAGGGGGAACCGTAAGAGTCCAGCCTATGCAAGAGAGGGCCTGCCTTGGAAGGGCGTCTACACGGGTACAATCGCTTCTGAGGGTATCGCCGTCGCTACTGCTGCTGCTGCTGCTGCTGCTGCTGCTGCTACTGCTACTACTACTACTACTACTACTACTACTACTACTACTACTGTTAGCCCCTTTATTGTTACCAATGATACACCGCAAAAAAGACGGTTGTTCTTGCCATCACTATCGCTATTCCTTGCTATTCCTATAGTTACTTACTTCTTTGAAGTCGCTATACGAGTACCTTCGGTTCTGACGGTTCTCACTATGTTCGCCGTCACACTGGTTGCAGATGTTGCCGCTTCCCTCCTATGGCTGCCGTCAGCGATGATCAAACTCTAAACCTGGAGCCCGATCCCTGGTGCGGCTGCATCTTGGTGCACCGCGAAATCCGCAAACTCCGAACAAAGCTTGGACGCTGGGAACTCCTCCTCCCAGAGTTTGTGGGGTTTAGGGTTAAGAGTTAAGAGTCCTGAGCGGCATACTCTAGTTGTAAGCCCATAAGCTCGGGGCCCCTCAGCCGACGCGCATTCAGGCAAACCCCCACGAAAGGAGCCCTGTTTGAGCACCTGCAGCTGGACCGTCACTTTCAGACGCGAGGGGACGCTGTCGTTCAGCTCCAGCACGCTGCCAGGTAGCCACTCCCCCTCCTGCTTTGGAGTATCAAAGACGGAGGGCTAGATAGATGCAGGGTGGGAAAGGAAAGTCCCATATAAAGTAGGGCTACGGTTAGGGCGTCTTTTCAGGGGGGACCCGGAGTGAAGGTCTTGGGATGATAGGGTTTAGGGCTTGGGGTTTAGGGTATCAGGCTTACTGTCTCATTCCGAAACATCTGTTGCAGCTCAGGGTTCAGGTACGTTTGAGAAAATCTGAAAGTGCAAAGAATCTCGATCTCTCACTCCACATGAGGCGCTCCTGGCGTTGACAGTACGGCTTATCGGGCTTTGGATCAAGGACTGATTCGAGTTCAGGGGTTAGGATCAATGACTGCCATGCCACGATGTTTGGCAGGGCTTCAAGGTATACTAAACCTAAGCCCGTGCTTGCAGCTAGCTGCACAGCGGCTCTAACCCCGGACTTTTGAATCCGCATTTGCGGTTCTATAGCACAGCCGGCAAGCCCATGGCCAGCTTCTACAGCACGAGACCGCGCCAAATCCCCAGCATGCATGATACATCCTGATACAGGTTGCAGTCCCGTGGTACATCAGAGCCCAGGAGTTTAGCCGTACATTTTTCGCAGTAAAGCTCCCTGAACCCTCGGCTCCGGAGTCCTAAACCCTAGACCCAAAAGCTCCCCTGAACACTAAGCTCCCCTAAACCCCAAGCCCCCGCAAAGCCCCTAAACCCTAAACTTCCCTTTTTGCTGCAGGCTTGCATGCAAGAAGCCTGGTAGCTAGCCACTCTTCCCTAAACTTCCCTAAGCCATAGGCGCCGAAGTCTCCCATTCCCTAAACTTCTTTAAGCCATGATAAACCCAAAAACCCACAAGCGCCGAAGTCTCAGCCCTTGCCTGGTTCCCTGTTGGGGCCATAAATGATCATTTTTAATCCTTATTAGGGTTTTATATGGTTTTATTATAACAAAAATGTAAAATTGTATCCAACGAGGACCCAGGTTGCCGGGGCCTCTGCGATCTCCACGGCAGTGCCCGGCTTGCGAAGGCATTCGAGCTCGCGACGGTTCGCCGCCGCACGCTTCCCTGGCGTTTCTACGGATGCTTTTCAGGGTTTTAGGCTTGAGGGCATGATAGAAAAAGGTAGTTTCCTTGCAATTTGGGGTTTTAGGTTTTCTGTAACCCGCGGCCCCAAGCCGAAAACTGAGAGTGCTAGCTGTCGCGTTGCCCCTTCCGCCGCTGCTTTTAGAGCGAACTGAGGTCTTTGAAACTCATATACCATAAGAGTTTAGGGCGTATACTGTTCAGGGCTCAGAGAACCACATATATCTTACAAGGCCGGCGACAAGTAGTAATCCGGCATTCCGTCCGTTATCAATCGACAAGGCCGAAGCCAGCGCAAGTGCGCATGTTTTTTTACTGTATCTTCTAGGACCCAATGCAATTGCTAGCAGCTTCAGGAATTGTAGCTTCGCGCAGCTGTCCTGAGTGAAATCTCAGTTGCGGGAATTTCCCCGAAACGGTGGGAAATGCCAGTCAGACCCAGAACCTGAACCAGCAAGCTCCGTTAATCCAGGGCGGGGTGCGATGCTGCGCAAGGGGGGCGATGTGCTCCTGCCATGGAAATCCGAGGATACGGTTCATCCTATAGCATTCTACGGTTGAGCCTTGAAGGTTTAGGAGTTTAGGCTTTAGGGTTTAGGCTCTCGTAACTTCGGCATGTCCAAGGTTAAGGGTTTCGGGCTGAAAGCTGCAACTGCAACAGTTATGGTTTACTATAGAATCCACAGGGTACGCCGTTAAGCCATGTGCCATAAGGAGCAATCCTTCTAAATTTTCCTACACAGAGTCTCAGAGGACTTGAACAGTAGTCGCGGTGCATACCAACAATATGACTGTAAAGGGTTACATAGAATCCTACGCTTGGTACGATGCAAAACAACACGGGGGTTTCCGAAAATAGGGGACCTAATATAGTATATCCTATAGTAGGATCCTTTTTTATAAGGAGCCCAAAATAAGGTACCCTAATTTTCGGAAAGTCCCACATTTACCAGGGCTCAGTTTTTGGAGCTATCTGTTCGGGCAGCGCTGGCAGACGCGGCAATTGCGCGTCAACGAAGCATGCGAACAGTCTGTTTAAGGGTTGGTATTATGCTGCTAGAAATACCCGCTCGCAGTACCTATAAAGTTTAGTATAACCGTATAACCGATCCTCCACAAAAGAACCTTGTTCTGATTACTAACGCCCGTCTATTCTAAGGTTGCTTCCTTGGGAAGCATCTTTTGCCGAGATATCTTGAGCCAGCTGCACACTCCACACTTGCCAGTAAAAAGCCAGAAAACATGGACACGGTCGCCCGGTCGAGCTTGACAGGCCCAAGACCGACGACACTGAAGTCCCAAACTTCGAACCCTAACCATTTTAAACGCGCAAGCCCCGCACCCTGTACCCTAAACCGTATTAACAAACGAGCAAAGATAAGTGCAGGTGGCCTCCAACCGCCGACGGGCCGTTACCGGGAGACGAGGAAGCGGCGTTCCACAATACTTCTCCTTCTTGAGTTTCTAGATCTTAGAGCTCGGGCTTAAGGCTCAGGGTGCTTTTGAGGCTTGCACTCAAGGCTCATATAAGGTTTATAAGGTTCAGGATTGAGGGGTGCAAAGTCTAGGGTTTTGCGGCCTATGAAGTTTGTTTGAGAGTCGGAGTGTCGGGTCTTGCTCATGTGGGGTGTTTGGTTGCTACCAGCAAACAGCCGCGGTCTTGTTTGGCGTTTAGGGCTGGAATCAGGGCATCGCGGGTTTAGGTCTTGCCACGATTCTGCAAAGGTCCCACGGGGAGACGCTGCACACTGTCAACCCAAGATCCATGACCCCACGCCACTTTTAGGGACCAGAACTGCAAATCAGAATCCTCGTTCCAAGGATTCTTCAACAAGAGGTCTGAATATTTGCACTGATATAGTGTCACAAGGCCCTGCCGTCGAACCCCTTCGGAAGTCTTCAATTAATGTAAGTGTGGTGGGGCCATAGTGCTCAGAATCGCGCTTTTGGGGGGCATATTGTAGTACACATAGAACAAAGACCTAAGGAGCAGCAATATTTGGTAATATGATTACTTCTATATCAGGGGCCCGAATGTGGTATATTCCTGGTTGAGGTTCCTGATATGCTGTTGTTCTACATATAGCCGCCCAAGGCCCCCCGTAAACCCTAAGCCTGAACCGCGATTGTTCATGCGTCTCCACTAGACATTCCTACGGTTGATGATACAAATCCTGCATTACCCATAATAACGGAATATACCATAATTCCCATAGTTTGGGGTCCTTAGATCATCAACAGTAGTTCTACACGCACCTGAAGTCTGGCATGGAACAGAAGTCTACACGATTGGCTTCCCCTAAGATTCCGTAGTTGTTTGTAGAGTTAGATAGCCAATAGTAGAACTTTAAGCTTTTTGGCTTTAGGGTTGACACAGAATGCTTGTTCCAATCAAGAC